GGGGGGGGGGGGGGTTCCCTTCAGACTGCATACACAAACACTTAACTATATGTTGGTTCATGAGCGCATGGGTGGAAGTGTGTGCATAAACACACTGGCAAACACAACGGTGGCTTTGGGCTGGACACTGGGGGCTCATACAGGATTCAGCGCGAGCCCCCTTGCTAATAAAATTCACAGTGTTAGTATTAGTGAGATTTAGCAGGGAAAATAAACATTTCCCCACTCCGGCTGGTCCGGGGGGGTGGCTAGGCTGGCTGAAGATGTGGAGGCTCCGGGGCCCTGTTGGCATGAACTCAAGCGGTGGGGGGCAGCGTAGAGCATGAAGGGGGACTTTGCTGAGGCCTGCTTCACCCCAGACAAGGTCAAGGTTGACAAGCCAAATGTCCATATAATCCAAGGCCAGCTTTGCTCACTGCATTTGCTCCTTCTGTACAAAATTATTTAACATTTCTTGGAAGCCACTTTTTGGAAGAAATTTGAAAAACAGAAAAGCCAGATTCACATCACTGTAATTTCTACTAATTTCTACATTAGCTATGTTGCTAACTTGATCTTTAAAGACCTCTTGGATTTTCACTAGTGTAGTGATGTCTAAGGGGGTTAGCTGAATTGTGGTTTCCATCCCTACACGCACAAACCCTAAGCCTAATCCTAACCCCAGCAATGCATCCACTGCAACCCCCCTAACTCCACGAGCTATGTATTTAATTTAAAAGAAAACACTTAACGTTTTTACATGCCAAAACACACAGGATTGACCAGCTGCTTGTAAAGAGAGCTTGAAATAGTGATAGCACTGCTCTAAGTGGCACTGATCAACAACTCTTGTGAATCACGACGGTGCCAATGTCCAGCTAACGATACATCCGTCTTGTTACTTCCCATGCTCTTTGCCACATTAGGGAAGTACTTTGTGTTGCCAGCAAGGAGGCATTACCTTCAAAGTTAAAGTCATGGAACAAAAGTCTTATGTGCCCGACTGATTGCATCAAAGATTGTAACATAAGTGGCTGCAGCCTTGCTCTGTAAGATGGACGCTGATAACACATCTCTGGCTCTTTTTATGTAGCTTGGTATACCCTAAACCCCCCAGGACAAAGTTGTAGCGTACATACTAAACTATTCAAACTTAAACAAGATGGACAAAGGAGGAGAAACTGTACTGTACAGTATGAAACCTCTCCAACCCCTTAGAATGAAATAATATAACATAACAGAAAGATCTTCCTCATCCTCTGTAGAACAGAACAGAAAACTCAAACACATTTTTCTGTTAGCAGAGACAGTTTGTTCACACATTCAAGGATGTTTTGAGGTTTCTCACTACATGTTTGAGGATGTGTTGGCACCGAGCTGAGGCCTTGGCGCTGTTTCTGTATCCAACTCAGCTGCAGTCCAACTCAGACTGCTCATCATTCGGTTGCTAGTGTAATCCAAATGTCTCTTTTAGCCTCCACTGTCTCCATGAAGTCAAGGAGAGGCCGCTGGATTCTCAGAAGATGAAACTGCTGCTGATTTCACTCATAAATAGGCCATTAATACAAATCTGACCTATCTACCTCTTAACACAATGCACTGTTAAGAACTCTAGTTTTAGAAGCACTATTATGGGAGAAAAGGCTACATACCAACTCTTTGCAGAGCCTCATGTGCTCGGTGGCGAGGAAGACACAGAGTTAGCTGCTTCTGGGGATTAGCACAACCCTCCAATTAAAGTGTTTTTTTATTTTCCACAAAGCCGTTTCAGTTTAAACAGCACAAGCAAATGCTTAAAATAATCACACACACACTCCCATCCTTTTTAATATATTTTTTTCTTTACTGTATCGATGTGCACTGGAGCGCCTGTAATTATGACTCTCTATATAAATCCAGATCCCACAATTACAACCAGCCCACGATGCAGTCCCACAGAGCAATGGCACACACATATATGCACATTCGCACACATGCCATATTACCGCATACTGCCGCGCCGCCGTGGCCTGTGCAACATCTGTTTTCTCACTCCCTGCCGGAACCTGCTCACCCTTTCAATTATAACCACCACCTATAAAACACTCCTTTACCAAGTGGTGAGAGTTGCCTGTGTGTGCATTTGTGTGAATTTTTTTCCAGGTAAAATTGAAAAAAACACTGACATCCAGTGGAGCGACACTGAGCTAAACAAAAGTAGCCTGTCCACACCTTCGTTTCAGACATTTAAGCTTTGTTGCTGGAGGCGTTAAGAATTCTTCTGGGCTGAGGTTGATGTATAGATTGAGGGGGCGGTTTGAGGATGGAGGTAGAGGGCGGTGTTTTGGGCACAGTGCCCAGAAGGGTGAGACAGGCGCCAGGCTACCAGGCCACCAGGCTGCGAGGCCTGTTTCCTGCTTTATAAAGGGGAATATTAATACACTTATCTCCCATTAAATCTGTTGGCAAGGCAGCAAGCGCGCCTCACTGCAAAAATAGCAAACGCTTGCAGCAGCATGGAGCAATTCACAGCTTATCAGAGAGCACTCCTCATTCATGACGATCCGTGTTCCCAACTGGAGGATCGCCTGCCTCGCCACCTCCCTCCTTTATGCTATTCTTACTCCTCTATGTAGTTAACCGAAGATGACACATTTATTTATTAGCCCTAAAGAGGCACATTCCTATGGACCGTTTGTTGTTTTTGCCAGCTCTTTCATACACGTCTCTATCATCTCCACCAGTTCTTCTCAGGGCCCCCAACTACTGTCGTCTGCCTTCTGAAGTTCCCGGGGGCCTTTTAACTAAATGCATATGCCTCTGCTTTACGACTCGCCACCTCCAAACATAATAGTTTTGGAAGTAAGATCCTGGTTTACGGCTGTAGGTCTGGCGCGGTGATTACGGTGGTGCCTGGATTCATTTGGCTCGAGGCGTTGCGAGTCCTACCAGGAAAGAGCCGGGGATTGGTTTCATATTGGCAGCAGTGGAGTTGACATACAGCAAATGTGTGCTTAGGTGAGCTGTGATGGGCCTATTATGAGTTTCCTGCCTCTCGCGCCTCTGGTGATGTCTGCTGTAAGACCTAATTACACGTGTGCGCAAAGCCTCACATGGTCCCCTCACACTGCGAAGCAGCACCTGTTGGTCCCAAGCAAGTGATCTGTCTCTGTTTGCATGGGCGTGGGAGCTACATACCTCGTAAATTTAAAAGAAATATCAGTAATCAGTACATATGGAAAAATAAATAGCCTTCTGTTCATGGGAAAGTAGTCCCCTTTGCCGTTTTCCTGTGCTCTTTTCTATGAGAATAAGAAAATAATGCAACAACCAGGTCTAGCGGGAGGCCATGAACCCTACCTTTGTGAGTCAGCCTTGTTCTTTCTTAATGGTATTCTGAGATCAATTTGTTTAAATTGCCTCCATTTAACTTGCCCAAGTACAGCGGTCTGAAAGAGATTGCTATCACAGTAATTACTGAGAATGATTGGGGGCGATTCATTATGCATAAGAGGATGCGAATGTTAAATAGGGGAGCTGTGTGTGCGTGAGAGAGAGATGCAGGAGATAGAGGGTAGCTTAGCATGGCTGTGACCTCCACTTGAATGCTCAGGGCTGAATGTAACATGGTCCAGGGTAACTGCTGGTTTCTGTTGAGGCCCAGCAGAGATTTAATGGAAGTGCAAGGAATTTATGCATTAGTTCTCTGATCTGAGCCGGTCTTCACGCTGCATACATTCGTCATTTCTTTCTCAAGTCGTACCTTAAAGTAACATCATCTCTATTGTGTCTCTTTTCCCGTGTCCAGTGTCCCGTTTCTCCAGCCCGCGGCTGACACCCCGACTGAGCAGGAAGAGGGCGCTGTCCATCTCCCCACTGTCAGATGCCAGCATTGACCTGCAGACCATGATCCGCACCTCACCCAACTCCCTGGTGGCTTACATCAACAACTCCCGCTCCAGCTCGGCCGCCAGCAGCTCCTACGGGCACCTGTCAGTCGGAGGGATCAGGTAGTTACATGCACACGCCTTAAGCAAGTACAAACACACTCATACAGGCATATTGGAATAATATTCAATAAAGCAAAATTCCCTGATACATTGTTCAAAAACTGTTGTACTGGAATCCAGTGGTGCAGATTTAACACTAAAAAAAAAAACTAAATAAAAAATAAATAACTTTAAAAAGATGTACTACCCTTGTGTATCCTACTGTATCCAGTAAAGCTAAAACTTTGTTCCAGCTTGTGAATATTGACTTTATCTCCCATTTCACGATCATGAAAACTCAGAGGAATGAATGTTGCTTCCAGTAATAAATGCACACGTCAAGCTCCTGAAAATTTAGCATTTGTTGAAACACAACCAGCGGCCAGTCAACAGAAATACTGTTTTCTCGAGTCCCATCGTCCCTTTTTAGAAAATGCTAACGATTTAGCAGCGTGGTTCTCTCTCAGCAGTAGGCTAAACCTTGTAGTAAGACACCAGGTGACATGCTCCTTTATTAGCAGCATCTACTAGCCTAGCACACTATAAGTTAACCCGACCATGTGGCCAGAAAACAGGACATTTTAGATCAAATTAGTTGGAATTCCTTAATTCTTCCTTCCTAATATGATCCTAGTGTGAGTTCAGTCTTTGAATATATTCCATTAAACAACTTTTTTTGTCCCCCTCTTGCTCAGCCCCTCGTTCAGCTTCCCTCATCACATCAACCCTGTGGCGTACCAGCAGCTGTTGTCCCAGCAGAGGAGTCTCAACGCCTTCGGCCACACGCCTCCGCTCATTCAGCCATCGCCGTCCTCTTTCTCTGCTCGCCAACACCCCCTCACTGTGTCAGCTATGGCCACCTCCCACAACAGCTCCAGCTCAGAGGCAAACCAGGTAGGAAGCATTTTAATGTGACATATGCTAATATGAAATGTACCCAGATTCATGAGCATCTCTAGGCTCTATTGGCAGAAATGGAATATAATATTCATAAGTATGTTTTTATTAGTTTATAATCACCTGAATATAGAAATGTTTGTGTTTTCATTACTTTTGAATAAACCATTTTTATCTCCTTTCATCAAGCTTCCATGTTGAACCACCATGTTTCCACAGTAGCCCAGCCGCTGTAGTTTCTTCTACACGCTTCACAGCCCGTGTTCAGTTAGTTGCAATCTGAAACTTCACCACTAGATGCCACTAAATCCCACACACTGGTCCTCCAACAGTTGTTATTCCCCTTTAAAACAACCTGTACAGTTGATCTCATTCACGCTTGTGTTTTTTGTGGCCATTTTTCTGTCTCATCCTTCTGTGACATCCTTATTCTTAATCCCGCCCACAATAGCTGATTGGCTGGATTGTTTTTCCAACCGAGGAAACAGCCTTCAATGAGATTAAGTGACCGGGCCTATTTACACAAACTACACACACTCTCAACTCAGATATAACATTGCCGCCAAAAACGTAATGTATTATAATTAACCCTTCAGAGTAGGGCTGAAACTAATGATGATTTACATTACACAGGTTTATAGAGGCAAAGGCTTTGTATGCTGCTTAAGCTCCCAAAAAAGTCCTAAAAACAATATTTTTCTCTTCATATATAGACCTAAATAATCATTTGATGATCTAAAATGTTGACAGTTTTATGTCGATCAACTAATCATCCAATTGTTTGGTCACTTCTTCAGATTTGAGGTTGAAGGCTTGTACTCTAAATGTACAAGTTGCCATGAATGAAGTATTATTTGTAAATTGTCTCAGGTCCGAAATATGCAGGAGGCTCCCTCCCAGGTCCATCTGTCTTACTTCCTACTGTCTCCGCGGTCTCTCTTTATCAGCCCACTGTATACACCACAGCCACTCGTAATGTAAACTTCCCACTCAGTGAATCACTCCTATCAGCTGCCTCCAGCTCTGTTTTAGCATGGCGTCTACTGACACACACCAAAAGTGTCCAGGAGTGTACATTTTGCATACACTCACACACACAAGACACACCCCCATTCACACACATACACCAACACCCATTCAGCTACATTTCAACAGTAATCAGAACCATATTTCCCTCTTGGTTCCCAGCCAACCGAATGAATCATCAAGGCCCCCAAAAATACTGAATTGTAGCGTCTGGGTGGGATTAGGAGACCCCCCTCCAATATTGGACCGCCTCCAATGAACTTCAATATACACACACATACACAATAATTCATCAGCTGCTTTAAATTTCACATCTTTCCTTTCTTTTCGTCTCCATTAGAGCTTTAACAGGCCTTATGTGTCTGTGTCTTTCTGTCGTCTTCAGAATCTGTTGGCAGATCAAAGCCCCCACCCCCGACAACCCCCGACCCTGCCGCCTTCCCCCTCTTTACAGAGGGTAATAACTCGTCTTCTTTCATATTTCCTTGCGGCTTTGGCGATCATAAAGCAGTCTAAACTGTTTAGTCTCGGCGGCGGGTCCTAGTCTGACTTATGGGCCACGGTGCCTGGCGCAACCAGGACTCCACACATCTCTCCGACTATAGAGCCAAAAACAATTGCACGCTATCTCTGGGACTCCATTACCTGATTCCCCTCTGGCACTCCTTGTGGTTGTGGTTTAATAATTCGTGGTTGGTATGTGTTTGGATTAATTGAGTGATTCACTGATTATGAATGAGAGGGCTGACGGATCAGCGGACAAAATATGTATTATTTTTCCTCCTTTTCTGCTTCAAAAAGCCACAGTAACAGACGCTACAGTAAAAATAAAACCCTGTGTCTGTTCTTACCTGTCCTTCAGAATGCCAGTGGAGACCCAGCAGTGAGTAGCACAGTCAACCCACTCACCACTAAAAGGTCAAAGGTAAAGACAGAAGCAGAGGGTCCGCTGCCCATCTCACCGTCCTCTCAGGTAAAAGAAGAAAATCTGAAATCATTAGCTTTCTAGGTTACAATATTGTTGGTTTCTTTTTGGTGAAGAATTAAGTTGTTGGATCTACAATCACCGTTTGCTATTTAACTATCTCTATCACATCTTCAGGTACTTGCGGTGGAAAATTGTCCCCACTTTACCTGGAGTTGTTAATTTGACTCTCATTGATTATAGGTAGCGAATAAATAGCAGCTTTAATCAATGACAAGAGGTGTTGTCACACATTGAGATCAAGCAACAACTCATTAGGATTTAAGAAACAGATAAGATAAGAGAGATGCAAAACAGTGCAGAATGCTTCTTTAACATATTGACCACAAATTCAAGTAAAAGATATATTTATTCTAGTCATTTGTACACTTTAGTGCACCGGTTCTCACACTATGGTAGTGGTACGCAAGCTGCTTCTAGTGATACGGAAGAAAATTTTAAATACATTTCAGTATTGTTCATGCACGTAGCACACGTATACATCCAGGATTAGTTAGGAGCTAAAATGTGAATGCAAGATAATAAGCAGAGGTAAAATGAATGGTACAAAAACACTACAATCGTGGCTGTAAATGGGAACTATTGAAAAGAGAAGTGTGGACAAGGAGGAACCATTTTCTCATCAAGCTCCTTCCTAACCCTAACCCTAACCCTAGCTGAATAGGGTTGGCCATGACTGTATTTTAACATCGTTCATAATATTTTATGAGGTGGTATTTATCTCTCTACTTTTTGTTAGCCCCCTTCTGACAAAGTGCTGTCCCCTTTCTTCAGGACCACGGTGGGGGGATCTTGGACCTGAGTGAGGATCTGGATAAAGACGAGTGCAAACAGGAGCCCGAGGCCATATATGAGACCAACTGCCACTGGGAGGGCTGTAGCAAGGAGTATGACACGCAGGACCAACTTGTTCATGTGAGTATTGACCGGGTGTCCTTATGGCTACAGATGTAGTTTCTGTGCACACTTATTACATCTGCATTGAGTTATTAAAACATTTAATAAAGCAATGCAAACAGAATTGACCTTTTTTTGTTTGTTTTTTTTTGTTGTTTGGGGGGATTTAATTCCTGTGATGCTGATCATGGCTCAAGTTATTTGTCAGAGTTAGGGCAGGATGGGTCTTGACTTTGATATCCTTGAGGAAAAAATTGCAAACGAGGCACTTCTACGTGATTACGTGGTATCAGATCAGTGCCAAGACGTACTTGCCAATACCCGATATCAGAGACATTTCCAATAGTACTATCGGTATCGGAACAACGCTACTTATGGCCGTGTTATTAAGAATTATTGAGTGACAGACTCAGTTGCACTTTTTTATTACAGCCCATAGACCATAAACTGTCCAATGTCTTTCTCAGACATTTCACTTTGACGCCAATATCAACATTATTTGGTTACTTTGCTGTAGTGAAA